TGTATCATTAATATTTAAAATTATTAACAGGTATTTTACTTTTTGTATTTAAATGTTTGAAATCCAGTGTGTATTTTATACTTACAACACATCTCAATTCAGATAAGTCACAGTTCAAGTGCTCAATAGCCACATGTTTCTAGTGGCTACCATATTGAACAACAGAGAAGAAAGTTCTTACTAATATTAAAGTTCTGGTTACAAGAACTTGTTGTTTTCAAGGGGCAGGAGTGATGTCGTGAATTTCTAGGTGTAAAGAGTAAGGCAGGAGAGTTCTGTTCTGGACCCTGTCTCTTTCTGGCCCACAATATTATCTTCTGCAAAGTCATGGGATTGGATCCGATAAGATCCATATGCACATTAACTGCTCCATCTCCACTGCTCCATAAATAGATAGGATCTGGGCCTGGGTCTGAAACACTGGCAGGGTGACCTTGAGTTCATTGCTTGACTCACCTGATTCCTGGTCTCTTCATCTGTCCCACGATGATGGTGACTCCCTCAGCACAAGTTAAGTACTGCCCAAGTAGACTGCCTTCTAAGCAATATAATACGCAAACATAATGCCTCCAAGCACATATCTGCACAGTGGTTCTAGCCAGCAACACTTGGCTGTAACCTGATTAAAGGTGTCAACATATCAGAGGAGAGAACACACATGCTTTCTCTCAAGTTTCTTTGGGACATCCATTCCCAGTTCCATCAGAGCTGACTGCTGGGGCTCCTTGATCCTTCTGTTGTTGCCTTTCCTTGATTCACACCACTTCCCCGGTCTTTGAGAACAAGGCACAGACATAGCTCTTGTCCCTCTTATGCCTCTCAGCTAGCGACTGCTAAAATGTCCCTTGGAAGTTACAGTTGTTTTCAGTCTTGTGCAGATGAAGGTCCCATATATTATCCCATTTCACTGGACAAACCAACCCTCTACAGTTCTGTCCAGAGACCTGAGACCATCCTGACCCTGTCTGTAGCGTGGCACTCTCATTGGCCTCAGATAATTCCTCCATCGAGCCCTTGTTCGCACTTGACCTTCAGGGAGATGCATTTCTCTCAAGAGGGCATTCTGCCCAGGAGTTCTCAAAATGGCACCCTGCCAGAAGCCTGAGAGACTGTATGCACAGGAGCTGCTAAGCCTGGCCCATCGTCTTTAAGAGGTTGATATAGCCAGTCCCACCTGGTTGCCTTTGTTGTTATGGTCCTAATGTCTTTTGGGCTACTCTTAGAAATGCCCTATTAAAGCTATAGATATTCAGGAGTTTTCAGCTCTAAGCTGGAGGAATAACAACTTAGCACATTAGAAACTTTTCCAGGAAGAAAAACAGGCATATCTCTGTGGCTATGTAGTTTTAAGGTGACCTACAGCAGAACAGCACCTTGCCCACAGTTAATTATTCTTTATTGAAAACATGTTGATTACCAAAGTTTTAGAAAATCACTTAGAAAAAAACTGATTAAATTTAATTGTTAAATATATTTTTTTTTATTTTTCTCAAGGAGAAAGAATAAAAGTAATTGACTTTTTAGGCCAAGGAATGCATGTAGTAAAAAGCACCTAATGTGACTGAGACCTGCTAGGAATAGAATCCCAGAAGACTTGGCAAGGAATTACACTCCCTCAAGAGGAAATCTCAAAAGAGTACTGGGAAGGCAGTGAAGGGCCCTGAGCTGAAGCCAATTAGTGCTCAATAAACAAATCAGGGCATTTTGCTTTCCGCCCAATTTCAAGCCAGCCTTCCAAGCAGCTCAGAAGAAAGTTCTTAAGGAAAAAAATAAAAGTTCAAATTCCCATAGCAGTTCAACTTACAAAGTGGATTCTATTTGATTTGTGGAGGAACAGCATGTGTTCTGTTTTGTTTTGTGCCAGAGCTTCTGAATGGCAATTCCAGAAAAATGTGCTGAGTCATGAATCCCTAAGGATAAAAGATTTTGACAAGAACATGCTTGGGGGAGGGCAAGAGCTGTGACAATTGTACAAGTTAGAGATAACAGAAGGCTCATTATTCTTCTTCTAAATGAGGCCCTTCAATGCAAACATTTACCCCACACCTGTGCCCAGGAACATTGATAGCTCCCTCAGGTATTGAGAAGCCACACACTAAAGAATAATGACAACAAGAAAAATAAGAGCTAATATTTACCGAATATGTGCCAGGCATATATATAAGTTATCTTGTTTAATTCCCACAATAGGCTTATGACGTGTTTGCCAAATGAGGAAACTTAGGCTTTGAGAGGTTAAATAATTTGCTCATAATCACCCAGCCACAGGAACTGGGCTAAGGATTTGAACCTAGGAATCACAATTTTAACATGTATGTATACTATATCTCCAAATATCATCCATGCATTCATAGATCTCTGATCATTTTAACTCTTCGGGGTTAAACTCCTTACTCAAACAGGCATCTTATTAACTGGCATCCTTCAGACACAATTGACTATAGAGCCAAAAGTCCCAAGATTATTATTAATGAAGGAGAAATGGTATGGCCCTCATAATGTAGACTGCGTCTTTTGTATGTTTAATATAATACTCTTTCTAAGTAAAAGAAAAAAATGACAAATTCTTTCCTTCAAAATAGAGCTCTCCTTTGTTTCCCGGAACGTCCTGAGTTAAGATAATCCTACATTGATGCTAGAAGTTTAGGTTATCGAGGTAACGGGACTTTCCAGCCAGCACAACATGACTGACATACCATTGGGTCATGACCTCCCAGTGCTGGAACTTCTGGTTCTTGGGAGTTGTTCCTCATGGGGCCTTTAAAAGTTGGTGGCTGAACCTTCTCCCCTGATGACATGGTCACCCTAGAGAAAATTAGATCACCAGCTGGCTCCTAGGAGGCTCATCAGAGAGAGAGAGGCAGGAGACTGAAAGGAGGGGTGGTAAGTATTAAACAAAGTCAGGGAAGAGGGTCCCCAACAAACTTTCTTACTTCACACCCTTTCCCACCTCAGCCCCTTGGCACTTGGAATGTCAAGAAGTATCTTTTGAGTCACAAAAGAAAGATTATATTCTAATCAATATAATTTCATTATTGTGTTTTTAAAATGCTAATTCTTGGGAAATGGGAAAGTCATGAATAATTATTTACATAAACATAACATCTCTATTCATTAAAGGATTGGGTTTATAGTGTGGGAGATCAAGATTTGGCCACCCTGAAATATATCTCTTTACCTTGATTGTTTTCTCTGAAGGACATTTGACCTCCCCCACTAACTGCCTAAAGAATTTGACATGGTGGCTCCTTCCTGGAACAGATCTTCTATCATGATGGCTATAAAGATAATGTAAAATAGATGTTACAAATGGGAGGGGCACCAAGCCCCTTTTATCAAAAAATCTGTCTCTCCCTGACCACATTATCTATAGATGACCCCGAAAAGAATTGTCCTGCTGCCCTCTGAAGTCCCAGGCCACTACCCACCCCAACACGCTCCTCGCCTTTAGCTGCAATACTTAAGCGAGCAGCTTAGACAGAGGGACGAGTTGCTCATTTCTGAGTTTCTCCCATGTATACATGTTATTAAACTTGGTATTATTTTCTCCTGCTAACCTGTCTTGTTGATTATTTGGCCAGCCAGAAGAACCTTAAGGGAAATGGCAGAGGGAGATTCTCCCTCTTCCCCCCAATAATAGCAACCCTCCCAGCTAGGCCCCATTTCCCAGCCATGCTAGAAATCAAAGGGTTTACTAGAAACCTGTCTCATTTTGCTTTTGGAAATTACATATGTGTGTGTGTGTGTGTGTGTGTGTTGTCCATATCATGGCAATTATGTTTTGTACCATACAATGAGAATCATAATCCCCATCTCATAGGGCTATCATGAAAGATAAATAATATAATATGCTTGGAACATATTAAGGATTCCATTAATGATTGGTGAGATCATTATTAAGAATCTCAAAGAGAAATCTGTCTCCTTTGCCTCAAAAGGATTCTGTAGGACTGATTAGCTTTTTGGAAGGCAATGGTCAAAATAGTTTTGCAAAGTGACTGTTGAATATGCTGATGTCCAATCACCAAATTCTGGGGTCTGAAGTGAACATCAAGTAATTTATATTTTTACATTCAAGTGAAGTGTCACTGTAATTTGGGAGGAGGGGGACTGGCTAAGAAGAGATAAGGCAACCAAACCAATGGAAAACAAACAAAAAATATTTTATTGTAACTTAAAATTCATTCCCTAGACAATGGATAGTGTACACATTGGATTACACTAGTAGACATAGTGAAGATGCACTTGGACAATTGTCAACATTGGTGAATGTGGGGATGTCATAAAAGTTAAATTTTTCAGGTCACTGGATTTCCCGAACATAATATTGGCAAAAAAGAACTTTCAACACAAAAACATTTAATTTTTTTTAATGTCACTTATTGTATTTACTAACCTTGATAGTGACTAAAGAATGAGGTACAGAAAACTTTCCAGAAGTCTGAGTATGGAGCAGAAGTCCAAGGCACTTTGGAGCCCCACTATTGCGTTATTGAGTAGGATTAACTCAGTTACGAAGTTCCCCATACTCCAGGTTTACTGCATAGAAAAGCACTAGTTACCTACCTCACTGAGGTGTTGTGGGGATTCATGCTTATAAAGTGCTTCAGGCGCCTTTGAAGAAAGGCAACATAGAAGTATAAAATAATCTTACATATTTCAAAAGAAATGAAAGAATTTTGGCACAATGGGAAGAGTGCCTCCTATTTAAAGAACCACACTTGGCTATTTTTTAAAACCCCTAACCTCAATGGTTTATTGTTTTTTTGTTTTTTATTTAAGAGAATAAATGTTTCTCTATTGCCAGTCTTATAACAGTCATTGTCAACCCAGGCTGTGTTATCAGAATCACTTGAAAAGTTCATTAAAAATATAGATGCTTGGCCCACAGTCTAGACCCACAGAATTAAAATCTCCAAGAGTAGTACTCAGGCAACTATATTTTTTAAAGGATCTAGAGGATTCTGATGCATAGCAAAGTTTTAAAAACATTTCTTTAAAAAAATGTCAATTTATTAAACATTGATTTTCTTCCTAGAACATTTTTCTTAAGATTGAATGAAGTTGGATCAGGGTAGCAATTTCTTATTGCCTTTTTCCCTTCTCATATCCTACAGACTCAGAGCACAACACACCCACACACACACACACACACACACACACACACACACACACACAAACACTTTTTAGTTCTGCCCGCGAATTAAGGTTTGATACTGGTAAAATCGGATAGTAGCAAATAAACCCTTCACTGAGAAGATATGCAAGGACTTGCAATTCATCCCCACTGTGCCCAAAGCAAATGGATGTTTTCCATTTGCAAGAATGGAATGGTTTAAATATGCATTTCCAATTTGGAAACAGGTAAAATCAGCACTTTCTGGGAAACATCAGCTGAGCGGATGCTGACAAAGAAAAATGAGCAAGGTTATAGCAGCCCACTATGACGAAGGGCGGCAGTGACCACCCCTCTGTTTGGAGACTGCCTGCATCTCAACAAACACCTTAGGAATTGAAACAATTCATGCTCAATGGACAGCAAACATGTGGGTGCTTCATCAAGGTAAATACAATAGAATAAAGAAAACTAGTAACTATAATTTAAAATATTTTTTTTAAAAGGATCAGTTTGCTTCACTGCAATTCTTAAGGCTGTTTTAGTAATCATGTTCATTGCCTGACTGTCTCAAAGTCTTCTATTTACTAGCTAGTCTAACAGAGAAGAGAGTGAGTTAGTTCCCAGCGGCCTTCACACATATCTCATCAGGCTGCTTGCATCAGTTTTAAAACAGAAGAGTGCCCCCTGGGCGCCTTGCAATGGAACTAATGGAGTCTGCAGAGAAATTATACTTCTTGACACAGAGAAAGCCTTCTGAGGCTGGCCAAAATTTCTACAGTGTCAAGAACTCATGAATACTAGTAAAACAGAATACTCCCAGTTCTTGGAAAAAGAAAAAAGAGAAAAAAAAAAAAATACAGGAGATAGAAACTATGTATACAGTACATAGAGCATAAGATATGTAAAAAAAAAAATGCATTCAGAGTCAGCCACAGTGAAATTTTGCTATGAGAAAACAGTCTTGTAGTGCCTTCCGATATTCCTCTAAACATTAGAGGCAACTTTGTACAAAAAGGTCGCTGAAGCTGGCTTAGGGAGTTGCTTGTTGCATCTATCCCAGAGGGGCAAGGCTGCCAGCAGCAGAATAAAACCTCCCAGCAGGACGCAGAAGCCACTAAAATAAAATGCAATGTCATATGTCTGGGTCCAGTCGAAAAACCAACCTGAAAAGAGAGTAAGAAAAAAATGAATTTGATAGAAATCACATGAATATGAAGCCCATACTCTAATTTCATCAATTTTATATACAGTTAGGATTAGGATATATATTACCCCATCTACTTCTAAAGTGGCCCATTGGAAGTTAGAAGAGAAGAATCTCTCAAATATTTGGACAAGAATAAACAGGCGTTTTGATTTTTTCCCAAATAAAGAATGAAAACAAATCCCTGAGCAAGTATATTGGCTTTTTCAACCATATCCAAGTGATTTTGAATAAATCATTCCCATGAGATATTCCATGCAGATTTATTTTGTGCAAATCTGTGCTATTATTACAATTTGAATTTCTATATCTGGAGTGTTACAAAGAAGAACAGTAAAATAGGTTGACTTTAAAATAAATATCTTACCAACAATAGGTGGTCCAAGGCTACTTCCAAGTCCAGCAAAGAACATTAATATCCCATAGGCATGGGCTAATTTTTCAATTCCCACAGTTTTTGTGGTCACATATGGGAAGATGGACCAATTACCAGTAAGAAACCCTACGATCCCAGAAAGTATTGCCAACGTGACATAACTTTTGGCAAATGGAATTGCACACAAGGCCAGGCCCATGATGATTAAGGTAGCTACGTAAAGATATAAGGTATTAATCCACTTGAAGTCAGCCAGGATCCCTAAAAGGAGTTTACCAACTGTTGTCATAATGCCAATAATGGAAATAAGAGGCATAATAAACTCTTCTTCTTTTACGTTTGAACTTCTTGCTACATCTTCCATAAGTAATGAAGGTGGAAACCCTCCGATGTCAAAAAGAAAGATAGCAACGAAGAGCGCTAAAAATACTTTGTTTTTAAAAAGAGCCACAGTTTCTCCACAGTAGTTTTTATATAATTGCCACTTCCTCTTGGCAAGCTGTGTGCAAAAATATGTCTGTTCTGCCACTTTCTTTTTGTAGGTTTCAGTCTCTTTTGTGTGTGCCGTTGTTGGGTTCTTATGAAGTAAACTCTCCTGTTTCCAGTCACCATTGGCTAAGGTGCTCTTGCAGATTTCCTCTCTAGTGTAATTCTTTTCAAGAATGTTTATGTTTTCTTCCAGATTCTTTTCTTTTTCATTGTAAATGGAGTATCTATCTGGTACATTTTCCAGAGCTGTTTTTTCAGGCAAAGGACAATCAGAGGTCTGGAGAGGTCTCATCAGACTGCCACAGGCTAATATATTTAAAGCTAAAGCCCCCACAATCAGCAGGCATCCATCCAGTCCATAGAACTCAATCAGCAGCCTCTGCAGAGCAGCATATATAAAAAGCCCAACACTTGAACCTGAAAAGGAAATGAGAGCTGTTCAATCTTGATCTCTTATAGTTTGAAGCCTTCAGGACAGGCATTATTAGTATCACAATTCAATTTCTTTTTTACACTGGCATTCATGCGTGCCTTCATATTAAAATCACAGCAAGAATATTCAAGATAATGATAATAATAGTAATACTGACAGAATATTTATTTTAAGAATTAGTATTTATAGTTCAGCCACTGAGTAAGCACTTTACATTGCCCAAACTTGTTTAATCCTTATAATGATCCTGTTGAGTAGGTCCTATTATTATTCCCAATCTACACATGAAGTGACCTAGGGCTAGAAAGGTTGAGAAATTTACCACAGGTCACAAAGCTATAAATGGCAGAAGTAGGATTCACAATCAGTCTGACTCCAGGAGCCCATATTCTTACAAATACTTTGTGCAATCACTTTTTTGTGCACTTATGATGTGCCAGGCTCCATGCTTATATATTTACTCCCTTTATTCCCTTTGGAAAACCAAATTTTCATATTTTACTTTTTGAGATGAAGAATATATTTTAGTTTTCGGATATTTATAATGGTCTGATAGTTCAAATCCATTGCTGAATCACCAGAATGAATGATTCATATTAATAAACGATGAGAAGAGTAAAGTGGAATTTGATAGGGTATTTAAATTACAAAGCACGCCTGGTTTGCACATCTGTGCAACACTGTAAATACTCCAGTTTTTTAGCATAGATCACATTAAACATGCTGGAATGGCAAGTTACATCAGCCCAACCAATTTGCAGTGTTCTTATATGGTTCTGGCTTCAATTTTTAAAAAATTGAGTGTTTAAAAATTTAAATATCATTGAGAAACATCATGTGAAACAGCAGGAAAGAAATAAATAGATCTGTAAAAAAAAATAGTCCAAATAGGTTGATAGTACTTTTAAGATGGTCTATACCAAATTACATCATAACTCTAACAGGATGTCATGCTTGCAGTAAAAATCCATCTTATCACACATTCTTACAAATAACCAAATGGTTCTGTCTTAGCGTTAAAAGAAAACATTTTTCTTTGGGACCACGGTTGTCCCTTCCTAACATTTTTAAAGTTAACTCCTTCAACTCCAAAGAAAAAAAATCTTTGCATGCAAATGTTAATTAATAGTTCATGTTAATATAATGGCAGCTAAAATAGTATCTTTCTGTGGCTACTAAGAGAATATCTCTGTGCTGACTTTTGAGAAGTAATAATAGTAGACAAATGTAATCCTTCCCTTATCTTTTTAAAAGTGGCACATAATTCAAGAGTTAAAAGCACTTCAGAAAACAAACTGAAAGACTTGAAAATAGGACTATTTCATGTGCTTCCGTACTGCATTAGCATCCATTCATTGTTAATTCATATTTTTGTCTAAGACCATTTCTTTGTACAGATTCTAACAAAATGCCATACCACTAGATACTTAAAAATACTCTTTGTGCTTGCAAGTTCTATATTTTGACCTTAAGTTAAGAAAATGAATAACATCCCCATTGCTCACCAACCAAGTTTAGCTGTCAACATCATGAAATATAAGGGAAACATATCAAATCTATTTAACAGAAATTCACTGAACACCTATAATGTGCTAAGTATATGACAGGGCAGCAAAATCAAATTGCACATTGAATAGTACTTTCCTCAGCCTACATCCCACAAAAACGCAGCCACATCTTAGAAAGATGCAAGAATTCTTTCAGGCAATGGAAAGTAATTTAGAGCTTTCTGGTGGAACTGTGTAAACCATAAAACTATAATTTTTAATCTTTGAAAAGAAAATTCCAATTTAAAAATCATCAATATAAAGGGAAAAATGAAATAAAGCACTAATTATGCTTCCATGCATGCCTAAATTATACATTATCACAAAGAGGAAAAATATTAATTGATGTTCAGGGAACCTGAAACAGTGAGAGACACACTCATGCTTTGATTGAGTCATTAATACCGGAGGTCAATAAACTTTTTCCATAAAGGGCCAGAGAGTAAATGTTTAAGGAATAGTGGGCCAGACAATCTCTGTCAAAAATGCTCAACTCTGGGGGCCAGCCTGGTGGCATAGTGGTTAAACTCGTGCACTCCACTTCGGCAGCCCAGGGTTCATGGGTTCAGATCCCAGGTGTGGACCCACACACTGCTCATCAAGCCATGGACCTACACACTGCTCGTCAAGCCATGCTGTGGTAGGGACCCACATATAAAATAGAGGAAGATTGGCACAGATGTTACCTCAGGGCCAATCTTCCTCAAGCAAAAAGAGGAAGACTGGCAACAAATGTTAGCTCAGGGCCAATCTCCCTCACCAAAAAAAAAAAATGCTCAACTCTGCCCTTGAAGCATGAAAGCAGACAGAGAAAAATCATAAAGAAATGAGCATGGTTGTATTCCTATATTTTATTTATGGACACTGAAATTTGAATTTCACATTATTTTCACATGCCATGAAATATTATTATTTAGATTTTTTTTTAACTATACAAAAATGTAAAAATTATTCTTAGCTCATGAGCTGTCCAAAAACAGACAGTACACTAGATTTGGCCCCTGGGCATTAGTTTACTAACCCCTGTTCACCAGGGAGCCAGATGGCTTCCCCAAAACATTTGTTTCATGCCCACGTTCCTTTCTTTCAACTAATTCACAATATTTCAAGTATTCTGAATTTTGGTTTCTTTTCAATTTTTAAAAAAATTCTGTGAGTTTTGTTTTGCTTGTCATCTCTTTCACTGAAAGTGGATGCTATAGATTAGATGTTTGTGTCCTCCCAAAATTCATATGCTGAAACCTAACCTCCCAGGTGATGGTATTAGGAGGTGTGGCCTTTGGGAGGTAAGGTCATGAGGATGGAGCCCTCATGAGTGGGATTAGTGCCCTTATAAAAGAGACCCCAGAGAGTTTCCTCTCCCCTTCTGCCATGTGAGGACAGAAGATAGCAGTCTGCAACCTGGAAGAGGGCTCTCACAAGAATCTGACCATGCTGGCACTCTGATCTCAGACTTCCAGCCTCCAGAACGGTGAGAAATAAATTTCTGTTATTTATAAGCCACCCAGGCTATGGTACTTTGTTATAGTAGCCTGAGCTGACTGAGACAGTGGATTAGTGATTCTCCTTAATTTTGCCTCACCTCACTCTCTGTGAGTTGAAACTGAAAATTCCTTAATTCTGCCAAATCTTGCCTGTCCACAGTCACTCCATTTCTGATTCAGCCCAAGCCCTTCTGCCCTCTCTCCAGACTGAGTGAAAAGCAAGAACAGCTCTCTCAGCATACAATGTCTGATATCTTCAGCACAAATAAATTTGGACATGAAGGGAAATCTAGGTCATAATTATAATGCTAATACTTTTAGAGCCCTTGCCATGTGCCTTATACATATGCTCCTTTAATATTCCCAATAACCCAATGTGATGAGTGCTATTATATCCCATTTTACAGTTCAGAAAACTGAGGCTTAACAGTTAACAGAACAGTTAAGTAACTTGTCCATCACCAGACAGCTAGTGAGTGACAGGCAGGCTTCAAAACCAGGTGGTCTGGCTCCAGGGTCTGTGCTCATCACTGCATTATAGCACCTCTACAGAAAATAGAGTATAGGTACCAACTGCTCTAGATTCCTCATCTTCTGCTTTTCCTATTTTTTCTCCCAGTTCTGCCTTAGTCATGTCCTCAGACTCTAGCTCTGTCTCCTCCTAGACCATGATTCACATTTCTCACCTGGTAATGCGTCCTTAAACCACCTTGGGTAAATATTCAGCTCAATTTAATTTGATCTGGAATTACTTTGTTGCCACCAGGTTGGCCTCATGAACAAAACATAGTTTGGATCCTCTTGCCAGATATACTATTGAATTTATTCAGCTTATCTGAAAGTCTGACCTCCCAGGCATACCCACTGATTAATAAGTAGCATACGGAAACTTACAACTTTTAGTAAACTTGGCTGCTTCATCTCCTAAGCAAACTCATAAAATATTGGCCACAGAAAATTTTGATAAATTCCCTAAACAGCTTAGAAAAAAATCCATCTGAAAAGTGAAGCACCACTTTAAAATATCAGAGGGAGTCCAGAAGGCTGGACTACATTTACATTTCCCCACTCAGTGGTCATCCCTTGATTATTAAAGGGATAACAAGAGTAAACATCCGGTTGTTTGGATATGCACGGGTCAGTGAGATGTATTCATAAAGCAGTACTTGAGAAAAACTGTAAGTTCCACAACAAATGGAGATGGAGTGATGTCAGCATCAGTCTTTCCGACAGTGGCCTTAAGGGTCTCCATTTTCCTCCCATTTCTCCTATCTTTCTCAGGGATAACGTGCTTTACTTAAGCTCTCTCTGCTTCTCTCAGCAAGGATCTCACCAGCAGGTGACTCTCAATTTACTGGGCCCATAGCTTTGTTTTCCTGTATTATATTGGATATCCAATGCCCCAGATTTTTGAAAGCTACACCCATATTTATGGTGGAAAATAAAATTTCCTTCTAGGACTAGAGTAAAAAAATGTGCTACCTGAGTGGTAGCTGGGGAGCGGTTGGTTAAACAAATCTGTGCTTGCTAACTTTTAACTTTGATTAGAAGGCTGAATAACGGCAATGCTCTACTTATTTTGAAAATGTACCTGTTGAAATCAGGCCAAGCGCAAGGCCTCGGCGGCTGTCAAAATACTGGCACGTAATGGTCACTGTTGCAGTGTATAATAAACCACATCCGAGACCTAAACATAAGAAGACATTGCATAAATTAAGACAGACTATATTACTTCAGTGCAAAAAAAGCGGGGGTGGAATAATTATCTCCAATCGGACGTTCTGTTACTGACTGGCTAACGCTCTTCAGAGTGTAGATTCCTAGACTCCTTCCATGTTAGTTGTACAGCTCCCATGGACACATTTGGGCAGCCTCGGTTTTCACTCCACACCCACCCTAAGGTGAGGGTCAAGTCAAAAAAAAAATAATCCAATTTCTAAAGCATGAATGAATAAGGCAAATGTAAATTACGACATTATGAGGAGATAGAGAAAATGATTAAATCACACACAAAATAGCAAAGTTTAATCAAACTTGCCCACTAGATCTCTCTGCCGCTCTTCCAATTCTTGCCCTCCTCTCAGCGTTCATCTTCTCCAAGTCCTCTCAACACTTCTATAAAATCCCCTTCACCATCCCAAGCTATTTCGCTAGAGCTCGTAGCCTGCACACTAGTCAGCAAAGCAATGGCCTGTGGGCAGGTCCTCTGGGGTTCTCAGATCATCCCATCATAGTCAAATGTATGTTTGTAAGTTTTTATCTTTTAGAGATGCAAACTAGCTTATTTAGGAGTAAAATGTCATGATGTATTTAATTTAGCTTAAAATATCTTCACAAAAAAAAGAAGTAAATACAATAAAATATTAACAGCTGTTAAATTTAGGTGGTGAGATATAGTTGTTGGCGACACTAGTCTCTACTTTACTATAAATTTGAAATTCTTTTATAGTTAAAAAAAATACCTTATAACTAAATTTCCCTTTCTTGAGACCCAAGGGCAATATTTATCTCCAGATCATCTCCAAGGCTCTTATTTGTAAGCTTAATCTTTCCCTCCCTATTAAGTACCTGATAACCCCAGTTTATTTTTCATAAAATTCTCCTCTGTCTTCAAACTCATAACTTTCTGCCTTTCTTCTGCAATATCATCCGTTCTTGAGGATCACTCTGTAAGCAACACATAAGCCATAATCTAAAAACTGAATTTTAACCATGGCTCATTAGGTGAGTTATCAAGATCATTTTCATTACTTTCAATTGCTACCTGGACTATGATTAGAAAGAATACATGACTTAATAAATATACTGCATAAACATTTTGGGAAATTAGCACTGAAAACAACCCAGGACTCAGAAGATCATCTGTGATTGCATAAAATGTCTTCCTAAAGAAATGAGATCAATTAAAACAATTACACTGTAAACAAACCTTTTAAAATAAAGCACTCTTTTGTATGATTTAAGGGAAAAAATGCTATCTCAACTAAAATATGAGTTGGGTTGATTTATACGCTTGTCATGATTACATACTATAGAATACTTCACTGAAATAAGACTTGTTTCTGAACAATTTTGTGAAGCCAAAAAATGTCACCCGTAACTAAGAGTATACTTCAGAAAGCCTTCAGAGGAGGAATGAATTTACTTTACTGTGATTTGGTTGTCAGGGCTCTGTCAAATGTTAGGCACTAGAGACAAGAAAAAAAAGACATTTCTGACTACTAAATGCCAATGCCAGAAAGTTGAAACAACAGAAAACAGAAAGTTTTAAACTTTTAACCTTAGACTAAAAAGAAAGATGTTTTTAAAATTATTTCAAGGCTAAGAGTTTCAAATAAGATGATTTCACTTTTTTTTCATGTAGTAGAAATCCGAAATGCCTTTTCTTTAAACTTTTCAAAAAGCAGAAGGTGGCACGATGCCCTCCCACATCTGTATCACGATGACCTTAAACCAGCAGTTATTAAAAAGAGGGTTCTCAAGATTTCTCACGGAGTTTGTGAAGACAAAACTATTCTCATAGTAATACTAACATGTTCTCTGCTTTTGCACTGTGTTCACATTTATGCTGATGATGCAAAAGAGATAGTGAGTCAAAGTGCAAGAGTCTTAACACAATTCAAAGTATTGATCCCAAACTTGACACCTTACATGCTTCAACACGACTCACTCACAGTAAAAACAGACACATTTTTTAAAATGCTTCATCTGAATTACAACAACTGTTGGTTGAAAAGAAAAGCACTTGTGTTTGTTTTAGTAGCCAGCTAAAATAGCCCCTTTTGTCATGTAATCCTGCTTGTGTTTGAAAGAATGTCTGACAGACAAACTGTGGTTACTCAGACTTGGGTATGTGGCAGACATTTTCTTGAAAATGAACTAAGGGAAATAACTGACAGTAATTTTTTTCCAATGATACAATTTGAGCTTCCTAGCAAAAACCAGTATTTTGGAAACTTGTATCCATCACCCTGAACTTGATAACTTCCCAATATATAAAGATTTTCTGATAAGCCTGTTGGCGATACTAACAAAAGTGATTTTTTAGGTATATAATGAAATGTGTCAACATTTTTAAGTTCTTACATAACTCAGCAAACCACTATTTTTAAAATAACCAATTCATGATGTTACAAAAGCAGGCTTGAATGCAGATCTATTCAAAGTACAGAATAAACAAATAGATTTAATATAACAAAGTATGAAAAGTGGATTGATGTGGTTTTAGGTTCCATACCGCAATTAACCTTTGGAAAACTGTCACTTAACTGAGTTTTGGCACAGTATCAAAGAAGAATATCTACAATTACCTGAAAAGGCTATTAAAAACTCCTCCCTTTCCTAACTACATCTTTGTGTGAGACCAAATTTTCTTCATACATTTCAATCAAAAAAACATATTGCAACACATTGAGTACAGGGCAGACATGAGAATCCAGATGTCTTCTATGAAGCCTGACATTAAAGAGACTTACAAAAATGCAAAACAATGTTGCTCTTCTCACTAAATTTTGTTTGTTTTGGAAAACAGAGTTTTTTTTCATAATAAGTATGTTATTTACATCAGCATGAACTGGGTTTGTTATTATTATCGTTAAATTAATTACTAAATTATTTTTAAACTTCTCAGCTTTTAATTCAGTAATTTTTAACAGAATAAATATCAATAAGTATAATCCATGTAATTAAAAGTTCCTTGGGGTCCAAAACAAGAGAGTGTAAACAGTCCCAAGACTATAAAGTTTGGAAACCACTGCCTTAAAACAATCCCTGTTCTCCAATCACTTTTTTCTTTGCTCGTTTGTTTGTTTTAATTTATTTTTTTATTGAGGTAACACTGGTTTATACCATTATATAAATTTCAAGTGTACATCATTATATTTCGACTTCTGTATCGACTACGTTGTGTTCACCACCAGAAGTCTAGTTTCCGTCTGTCACCATATGCATGTGCCCTTATACCCCTTTCACCCTCTCCCCTTCTCCTTCCCCTCTGGTAACCACCAATGTGTTCTCTGTATCTATGTGTTTGTTTGTTGCTGTTTTTCTTTTTTTTTATATCGTGGTAACATTGGTTTATAAGATTATATAAATTTCAGGTGTACATCATTATATTTTGATTTATGTATAGATTACATCATGTTCACCACCCAAAGACTAACTATAATCCATCACCACACACATGTGCCTAATCATCCCTTTCACCCTCCTCCCTCCCCTCTTCCCCTCTGGTAACCACCAAACCAATCTCTGTCTCTATGTGATTGTTTGTTGTTGTTTTTATCTTCTACTTATGAGTGAGATCATATGGGATTTGACTTTCTCCCTCTGACTTATTTCACTTAGCATAATACCCTCAAAGTCCATCCACGTTGTCACAAATGGCTGGATTTCATCATTTCTTATGGCTGAGGAGTATTCCATTGTGTATATATACCACATCTTCTTTATCTATTCATTCCTTGATGGGTACCTAGGTTGCTTCCAAGTCTTGGCTATTGTGAATAATGCTGCAATGAACATAGGGGTGCATGTATCCTTATGCATTCGTGTTTTCATGTTCTTTGGATAAATACCCAGCAGTACAATAGCTGGATTGTATGGTAGTTCTATTCTTAATTTTTTGAGGAATCTCCATACTGTTTTCCATAGTGGCTTCACCAGTTTGCACTCCCACCAGCAGTGTATGAGAGTTCCCTTCTCCCCACATCCTCTTCAACACTTGTTATTTCCTGTCTTGTTAATCATAGCTATTCTGATGGGCGTGAGGTGATATCTCACTGTAGTTTTGATTTGCATTTCCCTGATAGTTAATGATTTTGAACATCTTTTCATGTGCCTGTTGGCCATCTGTATATCTTCTTTGGAGAAATGTCTGCTCAGACCTTTTGCCCATTTTTTAATTGGGTTGTTACTTTTTTTGTTGTTGAGATGTATGAGTTCTTTATATATTTTGGAGATTAACCCCTTATCAGATGTATGGTTTGCAAATATCTTCTCCCAATTGTTAGGTTGGTCTTTTTGTTTTGTTGATGGTTTCCTCTGCTGTGCAGAAGCTTTTTAGTTTGATGTAGTCCCATTTGTTTATTTTTTCTATTGTTTCTCTTGCATGGTCAGACATGGTGCTTGAAAATATACTGCTAAGACTGATGTTGAAGAGCATACTGCCTAAGCTTGCTTTTAGAAGTTTCATGATTTCAGGTCTTACATTCAAGTCTTTAATCCATTTTGAGTTAATTTTTGTGTATGGTGTAAGATAATGGTCTACTTTCATTCTTTTGCATACAGCAGTCCAGTTTCCCCAAAACCATTTATTGAAGAGACTTTCCTTTCTCCATTATATGTTCTTGGCTCCCTTGTCAAAAATTAGCTGTCCATGGATGTGTGGGCTCTCAATTCTGTTCCACTGATCTGTGTGCCTGTTTTTGTGCCAGTACCGTGCTGTTTTGGTTACTATGGCTTTGTAGTATATTTTGAAATCAGGGAGTGTGATACCTCCAGCTTTGTTCTTTTTTCTCAGGATTCCTTTGGCTATTCAAGATCTTTTGTTGTTCCATATAAATTTTAGGATTCTTTGTTCTATTTCTGTGAAAACTGTTGTTGGAACTTTGATAGGGATTGCATTGAATCTGTAGATTGCTTTAGGAAGTATGGACATTTTAACTATGTTAATTCTCCCAATCCAAG